GGGGGGTGGCCCCGCAGACCTCTCTGTTGGTTTCCTGCCTCATGCCGGTATGCTGCATTCACATCTTGGCACACCGCTTTGAAGTCTGGTCGCTCTCTCCCTCTTCTGTGGAGATATAAACAATACTCCCCACCTAGTGTTTCCTGCTACCCCTGTCTTTCTCCAACCCCTCCTCTTATTTGGCGGCTATATGTATCCCTGGGTTGGGTTTGGCCCCTGCCATAGGACCTGGACTTCCTCCCAGGAATGTATGGATATCGCAGCTTTCCCCTATGCAACTTTTGCATTTTTAAAGCTTACCTCAGTGGACTCATGTTGTACTTGTTCCTTTGTGCTTGGCTTACTTTGCTTAGCACAATTTTCTCCAGTTCTTCCCATGCAGCAATGTGCTTCATGTATCCATCACAGGGATGCGTAGTACTCCATTGTATGTATGTACCAGTTTTTTAATCCATTCGTCCATTGATGGAAATTTGGGTTGTTTCCAACTCCTTGTGATTGTGAACTGCATCACAATAAACATTGGAGCACAGACATCTGGCCATGGTTTGTTTCTTGTCTTTTCTGGGTATATGCCCAATAGGGGGATTGCTGGGTTGTATGGTAGCTCAATTTTCATCTGTTTTAAATATCGCCAAATTGATTTCCATTGTGGCTGCTCTACAGGTCCACCAGCAGTGGATGAGAGATCCTATCTCACCACAACCCCTCCAACACTTGTTATGTTCTGAGTTTTTTGAATTGGGCTATCTTTGTGGGTGTTAGGTAGTATCTCATATTTTTTTAATTTGCATTTCTCTTATGACTAATGATTGGGAACATTTTCTCATCTGTTCATTGGCCATTTGGATTTCTACCCTTGTGAAACTTCTGTTCAGTTCCTTTGCCCACTTTCTCAGTGGGCATTTTTTTTCTTTTCTTATTGTAAGTTAGCAGAGTATTATATAATTTAGTAATAAGGCCTTTGTCTGATGTGTCATTGTTAAAGATATTTTCCCAGTTGGTGGGCTCTTTTATTACTTTTATGTACACAGGTATTTTATCTTCAGTATATCCCACTTGTCAATTTGTGCCTCCTCTGTGTTTGTGTCCCTTTCTATTTCTGATAGCCTATGTATTGCCTGCGCCAGAGTTCTCATGTTTATCCCAACTCCCTCATTGATCGCACTAATAATTTGGGTTTTACCTCAAGGTCTGTGATCCACCTTGAGTTTATTCTTGTGAATGGAGTGAGGTAAGGGTCTTGCTTCATT